CCGTTTCCCGTTTTTCCATAAGCAATTTGTGGCCCGCTTTTCCTGCTGGCCATAATCCTGGGGCATTAGTGGTTCGGTCCTGTCTATGGCAGGACATTTGGTGGGACATTTGGGGCACATTTGGGGGGAGAGCATTCGATGGATCACTCGTGGATGGAACTACCATCAAAGTTAATCATCGAAAACAATTTCTTAACCGCAAAGTGCATATAAGCAATAAATATAAATATAAATATAAACATATACGAGTGTATCCGTAAGATACAAAAATACTGGCAGTGCGGCAGATACATAAATTGCTGGGCATAAAGCCCCAGCGGCTTAAGTGTTGGCCCATATGTCAAACCCCGTGGAAAAGCGAGCATTTCCCTTATATATCGGAAAACATAAATCTCAACGACACTAAAAATCAGATATCGAAGAGGGAGGCGGCGGGTAGGGGCTGTATATGGAGATTGTTTCGCGACACCATTAATGCCATATTATGAACAGTAATTTTCCTTAAATTTTCTCGCATATTAAACAGGGGAAAAGCGCTCTACTGGTCGGTCGCTCGCTCGCTCGGTCGGGCATGTTCCGAATGATTGCTTCAATAACCACGAGAAAAAAACAAGAGAGAACAAGAAAAACCCATAAGAAACAGAAGGAAAATACAGTGGAAAGTAGGGAATGGAGTGGTGGAGGAAGTGAATGACTGACCGACCGACCGACCGACTGAATGAATGAATGAGTGAATGACGTACCAGAGACTACTGCATGATGGACTTGCCGCTCGGACTAAGAGATTTTTCGTCTTTTTTTTGCACATGATAAAAATTTATTTAGACCAAATAGAAAAGAATGAGACTTGGGGGAACAATAAACCAACACGGAACAAACAACAACAACAACAACAACCGACGAACCAGTTCGAGAGAGCCCCAGACACAGACACAGACACAAAGAGTGTGCTAGAGAAAGGGGGCAAGATAAGAGAAGGGCGAGAGGGGGGGAGGACAGGAGAAAGACCAAGCGTTGGGGCAATTGAGGGTCAGGAAACGGCTAGGCAGCCATTGACAGGCAGGGGCAGGCAACCCCAGCAATTGTTGCAGGAGCAGCAGTTGCTGCAGGAGCCAGTCCAGGAGAGAAATGCCACACAGAACTATTGTCTAGATTGCTTGTGTATGATGTGCTTGGGGGTGGGGCTGGGGCTGGGGCTGGGAAACCTTGCCCCAGGCACTTTACTCTTTCAGACCCTTCCTCTGTCCCATCGTCTGTCAGTCCGTCAGTCCCAGGCACTGAGGCAGCCACTGAGAGAGCGACAGCGACAGGCCACTGACGAGCCACTGCATGCAATAAAATGTGTCTATCAAATGTGTGTGTTTCGTTTTCATTCCTGCCTCCAAGTCCAATGTTACGTGTATTTAATGCTCTCTAAATTTTTGGACGGGGGTCGATTAGCTATAAGAAGGGGTTTGAGGTGGGTTGAAGGGACTTGAGGACCACAGGGACACCCAAAAGGGAGCCCCTTTTTAACCCCAGATTCCCTTCACTTTAGGGTACCTTCAGAGGGCATCCCTTATTCGTTTTTCCCCTCTTTTTGTTGGTTCCATTTTGCCCTCTCAATGATGTTTTGTTTTATTTCATTTTGCTTTGGTTTTCCAGCACACACACACACCCAGCCCCCTACCCCCCTACCCGCCCCCCTCGATGTTTGTCTATTGGTCGGTTGATTCTGTTGCTCCTCGGCCTGGCCGACGTTTCCGTTTCCGCTCACTGTACGCCATGTTGATTTTGCCTTGGCCATTTGCCTCTTTTGTTATTTGTTTTTCGGTTCGTGGCATTGTGTGTGTGTGTGTGTGTGTGTTAATGTGCGCACTCGACTGTGCGCGAATTGCTCAAGTGTACTCGTAGTTCAAGTTAGGGCCATCAGCCAGAGCCCCATCCCCCTGCTGCCGCTATTGTCCCTCTAAAAATTATACTATATTTTTCCCACTGGCTTACATCTCCCTCTCTCTCTCGCTCTGTGCAGTTTTTAGTATAATTTTGCGCTTCTATTTTTTTTGTTGTTGAATGAAAACAAATTTTGTAATAATTGCCCAGTCGTCGCGTCATTAGTTTTATCATCATTTAAGGCTTGGGGTATGGGCTAGGGGTGCCCTTTCATCATTTATTATTATTATTATTATTATTATTGCTTCTCACATTGTCACCTTTTCGGCTGGTCCACCCCAAGCCCCTCTTTTGCTTATCTTTAGGCCATATTTTTGGTCGCTTATTGCCACTGTCTTACATTCTTATCATTATTAAGGAGCTGCGGTGCTTCGGGGTACTCCTCCTGGGGATGGGGGCCTCTTTTCTACTAACAACATTTTTTTGACGACACTCGACGGACACGTTGACAAAATGACAATGGGAGATAGAGGATAAGGACGAAGGAGCAGGAAACGTAGGAGGATGTGGGAGAAAAGTTGAAAAAAAACGCCGCCTATTGATTTGCCTTTTTCGCCTATCTCCTCCGTCCCCCCTCCACCCCCACCAACCCCTCAAAAATGCCAGGGTTGCCATCTGTCTCTTTTGTATCTAGCATCTTTGTATCTGTCGGGGCCACCTTTTGTGTCCTGTCCCGTTTATTGGCGCTACCTTTTCCTTTTTCCCACCTTTTGTCAGCTCATATCTTTTTTTTTTGTTGGTGTTTTCCCACCTTTAAGTTTTCTCTGTTTCCTTTTCCTTTCCCTTTTTTTTATATTTGCAAATCATTATTATTTCTATAGAAAAAGATACATGAGATGTGTCTTCGTTTTTTTTTTTGTCTTCCTTTTTCGGTGGATGTCAATTTTCTTTACCTTTATTTTCATTCGAAAGTTACTTTGTTTTTTTTTTTTTTCGGTGGAAAGCGACAAGCCAGCGATATTTCCCTTCGGTTCTTTTGTGGCAGCGGAATATTGCTTATGGGCGAATGTTTTTATCGATGGCAGGCAATCTAAGGGATGCGTTTTGGAGGAGGATTTGGGGGGAGGGGATGGGTGGAAGGAAAGGAAAGGTAGGGTTGCAGGATGAACGGAAATTGTAAATCTTCTTCGTTTTGTTGGCGGCTTGTTGCTTTATCTTTTTACGAAATGGAAAGCACAACGGAAACGGGTTGGAATTTGTTCGAGTTTTGCGTTGATTGTGAAAAGGAATATTTACCAAAGGATGAAAGATCATTAATAAAACAAAAGAAACGGGGTATAAATATTTGTTTAAATTTTAGGAGTATTTATTAATTTACAAAAGGGGATTTCAGAAAAGAATAATCTTCCGTATTTTATTTGATTTATTTCCTTTTAAAGGCGCTTGAATTTCATTAACAAAATGCAGGGAATGCAGAAAATAGTGCAAAATGTGACACGAAATGCAACAAGAAAAAAAAACAAGGCAAACAAACAGGAACGAGCACGCACACAAATCCCACAAGACTTGAATGAACCTGCCTTTGCTCTGGCCATCCCGTTCTGCCCTTCAGCGCTTTAGGCACGAGTCGCTCTCTGGAGTGTGGGTGCTTTTTGTCTTTTGGTTTCACTGCGCTCTCTCCCTCGTCTAGTGCTCTGCCTATGCGCGATCGTCAAAAATATACAGACCGCAAAAAGTGCTTGAGTTGTTGTAGCTCCCTCCTCCTCCCACGCTGCCGACAGAGCAATGCCGAAGCAAAGGGAGAGTGCAATGCCGAAGCGAAGCGATAAAGCAATGCCGAAGCAAAGTTAGAGTGCAATGCCGAAGCGAAGCGATAGAGCAATGCCGAAGCAAAGGGAGAGTGCAATGCCGAAGTGAAGCGAGAGTGCAATGCCATAGCGAAGCGGGAGAGTGAAGTAGCTTTGAATATGAGCTTATCGCTTGATCTCTCGCTTGCGGGCGTACAAAGTTCTGCTCTCTTTTCGCTTCCCTTTCTATGCTAGAAGCAGCTAAGCTTTTCGAAATGCTTGCGGTTTGTAGTGTTTTTGCTTTGCTCATCGCACGCAGTTTGTGATCAGCCCAAGAAGTCGCCTACAACCAGTGAAAATAAGCGGGTGCGTCTAGATTCCTGACCAGCACTTCTCTCCGTCCACCACTCACGGCCGCCCCCCGCCACTCATCGATCGTCCTTCCACAAGTTCTCACCTCTGCCATAATTATATACCTTTTAAATTCCAATGCCCAATGCCTAATGTTGCTCAATCAACTTGGATTCCACCGAATCCCCCAATTCATTGTGGCCCATTTTCCTACATTTTCCAAACAAGGTGACAAAACTTGTGCTCTCATTTTTTTTACTTTTTCTTTTGAAGAAAAGTTTTCTAAGCAAAATTGAAGGGCGGGCGGGGAACCTGCCAGCACCGCTCCTGTGAAACCCAACAGCTGTGCAGTGGAGAGAGGAGTATCTGTGTTTGGGAGAGTATTTATGTGCATTTGTGTGTCTGTGTGTGTGGTCTTAAGGGGGCGTGTCGTCTTACAACTCGATAATTGCGGCTTCAACTTGACTTTAACACAGAAAAAAAAAGTAAAAAACTAAAAAGAAAATCAAGAAAATCGAGGAAAAAAAAGGAAAAGAAAAAGCGCAAAAGAACGAACGAAAGAAAGAAAGTTGTTGAACTTTTTAACTAGCCTCCGAAACTAAAAGAAAACTTTTCAATACTCAAACCCAATGGATTTTCCACCACTACTACATATCTCTCTCTCTCTCTCTCTCCCTCTCTCTGTCTCTGTCTCTGTTTCGTTGCAGCTGCTGCCCGAAAGGAATATCGAAAATGTGCTTCCATTAGAACGAACGGAGGAGGAAAACTGCAGCGGGAAAATCTGGAAGCCAAATCCAACTTAAGTCCACATCAAATTAAAATCAACAAGCGGCGGAACGGAGGAGCGGACCCCCCCTCCCCCAAGAAGAGGGGAAAGCCAAGAAAAATTATAGAAAAATATATATAGTGAAAGAAAGGCAAAAAGGAAAAGGGAGCAAGGAAAAGCCGTGGAAAATGAAGTGCAATAAAAGTCAAATGGCCACGTTAACAATGTGGAAAATTTTTATGGCCCTGCTCTGTGGAATGGCACTGCCGCTAATGCCAGTCACATTAGCGCGCCTGCATTCCACATCCGGCGGTGGCGGAGGAGGCGGCGGCGGGGGAGGCGGCGGCATGTCCAGTGGTGTCCTGGGTCCTGGCTCTGGCGGCGGAGGATCCAGCGGCGGCGGATCTTCAGGGAAAGATGCACACGGTAAGTCCTTTTTACGCTTGTCCTTTTTTTGATTATTTTAAATGGCAGCAGTGGCTGCCGGTCGCACTCTGGCGTCCAAAGTCCAATAAATAAATTTAAATATTTAACTAACTTGCATTCAGAATGCGAATGCGAAGAGTGCCGCCCGTCGCGGACGGAGACTGCAGCCAGTCCGAAAGTTTGCCAAAAAAAAACACAAGAAAAAAAAAACTTAACACCTCGTTGCAACGTTCCGAGGCACGTTGTTGTCGTGGCACGTGTCCTGGCATTTATGATTTCATTCCCTGCTTTCTGCTGTAAAAGCCGAGGGCAGTGCTCCTACTGCTCCTCCACCCGGCCGCCCGGCCGCCCCGCCTCCTTCTGGGGCGTCTCCTGCCTGGCTGCTCCTCTAAACTGTTCCATTAGCACCCAAGCAAATGCTTGTGGAATTTTAAGAGCAGGACACAGGATACACGGGACACACAGGATACTGGGTTTATGGCAGTAAAGTTGGGTTGTGCTGGCCAGAGGAACTCACGTAGTCATCCACTTTTGTTCAAGTACAATGCCACCATCTCGTCCCAACCCTAATCCAAATCCTAATCTTATTTCTTCTTGTTTTGAGGTGATATTTTGATCATTACGAATGCAGATTACGGATTAAATTGTGGTATTTTATTAGAGCGAATAAATTGGGGTTTGCCGGAAAGAAGGATTGAAGTTTAAGAACTTTTCAAAGTATCTTAAACAATTATATTTTTAGAGGAAGTTTGGGAAATCGAGGTACAAATGGACTTTACATGAAAATCAATTAAGTAAAACTTATTAATATTGAAATAAAAATACATAATTTATACATCATTTTATCGGATATAAAATATATTTTATTTTATAATTTTTTAGATTATTTTATAATTAAGTTTTTTATTTGTATAATTAATATTTTTTTTGTTAATATTTATAGGATAATTTATATAATTTATGCATATATAATAATGTATAAAATATCCATACTAATTAAGATTTAATAATTAAAATTTATATTTTGTATTCTCTTATATTTTTTATTTTATGGTTTTAAAATTGATTTTATCATTTCTATTTTATTTTATAGATTACAATTTTTTTTATTAAATAATAATATATATAAATAAATATATATATATATGTACATATATATATATATACTAATAAAATTAAATACAAATATTATATATATATTTTATTTAATATATATATTTGTGATTCACTTATTATTTATTTTTTTAATTAACATTTTTTAATTTATCTTTCATTTCATAGTTTCTTTTCTACTTAATATTTGTATTTAATTTTATAAGTATCCATCATATTTTCGATTTTATAATTTCTATTTTATTATGTATGCATTTTTTTTCTTATTCTCTTATGTTTTATGTTTTAATGATAATTTATAATTTTTATTTTTTTTAAATTTTCCAAATTAATACGCTTTCTTATACATATATTAGAATTTACAGTTTTTACAATTTACAGAATTTACAATCGAGATGTTTCAGCTTTAAAAATTAATAATCAATGTTTTTAAAACGTTGGGGCTTTTTGGAGTTTGGGAATATACACTATGTCTTTATCTTTAAACTATACGTGTTCCGAAAATATAGTTCCATTAGTCAATTTCCGCGCAGTTCAAAGTTGACTTGTCCATTAACTAAACCTGCAAGTAACACTCGCTTTTCCGGTGATAAAAACTCGACAAAAATCGACTGTCAAAAAATGGAAACTTAAGCCAGAAACTGCACAAAACTGCAGCAACTGCAATATATTTCAAAAACTTCTCGCACAAGAAAATAAACCGAAAATCAATTTTCACCTAAAAAAAATGACCAACATTTAATGCCCGACTTGTTGTTGATGATGGATGCCCCGCAAGGGTTAATCTTTGCACCTTTTCTTTGGCCACGTTTTCCGCGCAGGAAAAACCGAACGGACCGAACGGGACCGAACGGGACCGAACGGGACGGGACGCTCCTTGACTTTTTGGGGGGTTTTTACAACATTTCTGTTGTTGAGCGTCCGCGATAAAAGGAGAAAAAAAAGGTTTAGCTGTCGGTCAAATCGGTTTTTGCAACAGCCACAAAAGTTTGCAACTGCCACACACACACAGAGAGAGGGTATGTGTGTGTGTGTGTGTGTGCGAGGACTGTACCTTCTAGTTTGCTGCCACTTACAACCGCCTTATGTCCGCTGCTGTCCCTGGAGTATTTTCTGGATAACTGCAGCAGCAGTCAACACGTTGACAAGTTTCTGGGTTTTTCTGCCAAGAGAGACAGGTAGTATGCCACACAGAGAAAGAGAGAGAGGGAGAGAGAAGTAGTTTCGTCATCTGTCAGGTGTATTTTCAATTTTCGTTGCATACTTTTCGGCGCATGCATTAGAAAATGGTTCAGGATTTTAAAGAGGGTCAACCGTGCTTAAGAGGGGTTCAGTGGTGGGGGGGAGGGGGGGAGGCCACTGCCAACTCCTTAAAGATTTATTATGGCCATGTTTCGGACTGTTGTTGTTTTGGCCAGTTTCCGTTTCGTGTGATAAAATGCTTGACACTTTTCTAAACGGCAAAACTTTTTGACTGCCAAAAGATTGGGAAACACACACACACACACACACACACACACACACTGCTATCTCTCTCTCTCCCTCTCTCTTTCCCCTGTTTTGTCTGCACTTTTTTAATGCTCTTGTCTGCTGCTTCTCTTGGCCGAAGTTCTTATCCTCTAACTTTCCGCCTTCCCCCTTTTTAGCTCTGTCTTTTGCAGTTTGTTGACACTGTCTCTGGCTTAGGGAGTGCGAGAGAGAGAGAGAGAGACAAAGAGAGCGACGCATAAAGTGGAAATGATTTACGCAGTTTCCCCCTTGCCTCTGTGTGTGTGTGTTTGCCAGTGTGTGTGTGCGTTTACATCCTGTGGGCATAATAAATAGCCCCAGCTTTTCGGCTGGCAGTTTTGTCAAATAGCTCTTCGGGAGCTACCAAAACACCTGAGAGGCTCTTTTTCGAGGGCCAAAACGAAGCGAAAAGTTAACCCAAACAGAAAGAGAGCTTAAAGGGGGGGGGAAGAGAGAGAGAGACAGAGAGAGTGTAAGTTTTTTTTTGGAGGTGCATAAACTTTTCAATCAACTCCAGTGCGCAGGTTGACTTGGCTTTTGATTTGTGGCGCTTTTCTGCGGGGGTTTTCCCGTCTCTTTTTTATCCCTTTTTTTTCCCTGGGAAACCAAACATCAGGAGAGCATTTTAGATGTCATTCTGGTTTATCGTCCTGACATTTTCCAACTAAAAGCAAGACTTTGAGCTGCTAAAAGAGATTTAAATGATGATTAGGGATGTTCCGGGGATTGTACAGGAAATTCTTGTATTTTATATAAGAGAAAATTACTTTACGGATCAGAGATTCCTTGGATACTCCTCAGCTTCTTCGCCTGCACTTCCTTTAAACAAAATTCAAATAAAAACCTTTCATCCTTAGAACAAATAACCCCCCACCCTCCCCCCCCACAGCCAGGCCCCAAAATCGGATGGAAAACTATAAAATTGTTCCACCCATTCCCGCCTGCCACCTCAATCTGCTGCCACTTGGCCAACCACAAATTAGGCTTTGTAAAAAATACTTTTGTGGCAATCAAATTGTTTGAGTTTCGTGGTGGCATTGCTTGAGTGAGTGACAAACCCAACCGCCCCCCGTCCAACTTTTCTATAGAATTTCTAATTACGATGAAACGATGAATTGACAAGTAGCTTGACAGGTGAGCAGCAGCGGAAGCAGCGGCAGCAGGAGGCCCACACCCCGCCCCCGCCCACACTGCCACAATTTCGGTGGCCGCTTTAATTAATTAAGAGTGAAAGAAAGCCCGAGGAGGAGGAGGGGGAGGAGGAGGAGGAGGAGGGCAAGAAACTTTGACTGTCACTGGGAAAATCCAAAGAATGCAAACACTAAATCTAGGATTTATTTGTCTTTGTGCAACAGAGAAATGAATTCTTGAGACTTTCAAAGGGATACAACATTTTATGTGTCTTTTGAGGATGCGATACGCGATGCCTCGTGCTGCATTTTGTAATCCTTTTGTGCATAGAATTTTCCTGAATTTGCCGCGCAATTTTCGACCAAAAAACATGAAAATGCAGGCAGCAAGCAGGCAGGCAGCAGGCAGGCAGCAGGCAGGAGGAAAATTCAAAGCATTCTGCCACAAAAGCCTTTAAAACAAAAGCTTGACTAAAATTCCATACAAAAACAAAAAAAAAAAAAAAAAAAGACAGAAGAAAACGTTGTAGCAGCGGAGAGAGAGAGAGAGAGAGAGAGCGCGAATGCTAGACGACAGGTCACAAAAGCCTTGCTACATGCCACATGCCCCCCTACTCCACCCCTCCTCCCATCCTCCCTCCCTGCGGGGACCCCCCATTGAGAATGAAAGTTTACATGTCGTGGCCAGGCGCCGTTGCCAGGCTTTTGGGGCATCGCCTAAAAATATACCACGAAAAATTCTAAAGAGTCGTCGAGCAGAAAGGGTTCTCGGCTCGGATGAGGGAGGGAGAGAGCGAGCGAAACGAGGGGTGGATGGAGAATAGAGGGTGGCTGGAGGGCGCAGGGGGGAGCCTCTTGCGGTGAATGGAGCATGAAAGCAACATTTTTCGGTTGGTTTCTTTTCCTCCTTCTTGCTCCTCCTCCACTTGCATTTCTGTGACTTTCATTTGCCATAAATTATTTTATGTTATTATTATACAATACATACGGAAAATGAGGAAAATGGGGTGGAGACTATGCGGGGTTTGTGGGGGAAAAGCAACAAGCAGAGTGGCAAATATTACTTACATTTATTGCATTTTGCAGTGGACGCGTCTAGGGAAAGTGTTTTTCCCCCGAAAATGTGCCACAATTTAACAGATATACTTTTATGCTTTTCATTGTTTATTTTTTGTACATTTTATTTATAGCTTTTTTGTGGTATTGTAATATTAAAATCTTTCGAATTTCCTGTTTTAAAAATAACAA